GATTAGCTTTAGGCAAAATACATTCTTATATATATACTAAGTTTCTTGTCTTGTTGTCATTGTATAGGTGGAAGTACCTGAAACTTAAAATACCACTCGTAAATATAACCGCTTCTTTTGATAGATTAAATTGTCTGGGTTGTATTGAAGACCGAACTCATTGGTCGAATAACTTTGCATTTCTAGACACTAATATTATGTTTAAAAAGGTTATATTTGCTTAGAAAAAACCTATTATGATAATAATAACATTTTACTTTATGATTATTATGTCTATATTTGCGGTTTGCAAAAATTTGTGAAATTTAAAAAAAAAAATACGTTAAAAAATAAATAACAAGTTCTATGCCTGCCCATGCACTAGGAGTTTTTTTTAAATATTTCTTGTCATAGTCATTGGTCGACAAGAGTAGAGATGTGCGAATGCAAGTTTTTTTGGCCTTGCATTACATAATGCAACATTATATCGCATGATACACTATGCAATCTGTATAATATACTGTGACCTCTCAAAACCAATATGCAGTGAACAGACTTTGTATATACTGAGAGATTATTGGATTAGAAAACATAAAATATTAGATTTATATAGTGAAAAACAGACCTGATAGATTGATTTTTTATTGATCTCACAGGCTATGAATTTGATAGGAACAAATGTTTATAAAGTAATTGTTGATAAAATGACATAGAACAAAATTACATAAAAACTTCTATGTGCATTTTTAAATTTTAGGCAACCTGCATCGCATTATGCAGCATTATGTAGCATGCAACATTATCTGCATAATGCATATAGCACATCTCTAGACAAGAGTGTTCTTTCGTACAAACTAATCGTGCAAAGCAAATTGAATAAACATATGGACGAAAATTTAATAATATTGCTGTACTGAGTAAGGGTGTTCTCAAACACTTCACTCAATGGATCGGAAGTAAATTTTTAATTAGTTAGAAAATTAAATTAACCAAATGAGTTACCATTTCGATAAGCAAATAAGCGAGACACAAACCACCTTTTTCTTCAAAAATTCACCATTGATAAAGGTATATCAAGTATTATTTTTACATATTTTACATATTAAACATAATAAGCAATTAATTCTTAAGAAATTTTTTCTAACTGATGCAAAAAAAACAGTCACTTTATTTAGAATGTTTGAAGCTTTTAAAACAATAAATTATTATAAATATAACAGTCTTTTAACATTTAACCAAACCATAATGAATGCTGTTTTCTATTTTTTACTCATTTAAATTTTAAATATTCTCAGTAAAGACTAAAACTGAAAGGTTGGGTAGATGATTTTCCATATTTGATGGATAATAAAGAAATTTAAATTGTTAAATTCACTAAAAGAAAACTTTGACTGTTGGTTGTAGAAAATTTTTTCATTAAGTTTTTTAGGTAGTGTCATAGTGATATACAATATGTGGTAAACTTATATGAGAATAAGGGTAAAGCGAATGATCAATTGATATCTTGTGCACATAATAGGCAAGTGATCAATCAGGAATTAAGGGATCGAGTAATAATCAATTATGCAACCATCAGTATTATGTGATATTATACCGAAATAAGTAATCAGTATGCATGAAATATGACATAGATTTATGTGGTAATATTAGAGTCAAACGATCGTACCCTGTAAAAAAATTAAACTTAACTTTTCTATAACTTCTCCATATATAAATTCTATGCATTTTCTGTTTAAATTACTAAATAATAACATCCATGTTTATTCAATAAATGTCGCATATTTGTGGAATATTCATGGAATAACTTTAGTAAAAAATAGAAATTATACCAAAATTTTACTGAATTTATGTAATAATTATGGAAATTAGTTGGAGAACTTGCTCAAATTTATATAGTAATAAAAGGTAAATTAATAGAAATTCTATGGATAATTTACTGATAATAACATGGAACAAATATTGAAACTTTATTATAATAATCATGAGTAAATTTAAAAGTGCCATAGAAATAAAACAATATATGTACATGGAATAAATATGGAAATATTACTGAACTTCCATATATAAATAAAGGCTATATGCATATATAATACATGCATCTCTTTAAACGAATCTAATCCTTAATTCTTGGTCTTTTTACTGGCCCTTGCACTATGTGAGAAAATCTTTTTTGCTTTTTGTTCTCTTTTTCTCTTTTTACCTATACAAAGAATAATAAATTTGATATTATAATTTGAAGGTATAAAAAATACCATAGTTTTGTGAGATAATTTAATAAGTACCAGATCCTTGGACATTACCTTCAACTATTTCTGATATTGTTTCAATATTATTAAATTTTTGCGCAGAAGAATGAAGACTGTTTCTTAGTGATGGTGTCATGGCGAAAACAAGTATGTGATATACTTGGTAAGAGGGATTGATTTAGAGCTTTAGATAGTAAGGACATTCAATTAATAAATAAATAAATATAACATATGCGGGTATATAAATATAGTGTATAAATATGCAAAAACGAAAATATATAAAAATATCTTTGGGCCAGAACGAACAAATTGAAGTACACGTGATTCACGTGATATATGTAACTTACATGAATAATGATTGGAAGTATGGATAGTCAGTAATATTTGAGATACCGAAGTAAAATAATAATTAATATATCAAAGAAAAGATCAATTACGAAATAATAGGTTATGTGAAATAGTTTATTAATAATTTATGCATGAATAATCGAATAAAGTATGTAATCAATTTAAGAGACAGTGGTCTTATAATTATTATATGATATAACAATCAAAGTCAATTAAGAGTATAAGTAGCGAAGCGATAATAAAAATAAAAGATTCAGTTAGTCAAAATTAAATAATAAAACCCGTGAATAATAAAAGCAAACTTAGTACTTTCCTTAAGTGAATTATTAAAACATATTAATAACCGTAGAGTGCTTCTCTACCTGAGCTAGGTTATTTTGTTAACGAAAGTCACTAATTAATTTGCAACAATAGTAACACGTTATCCTTTGGGATCACAGTGCTTTGTTCTATATTTGATAAAAGTTGAATAAATATATAAATAGATTTTTGTGATATAATGGTAGGCTTGAAGTTTTATATTATCATCATTTTTAAAATTTCAATAATTGTTAACTTTAATATTTGTGCTATGCGGTCGTATGAGAGTCAAATTTCTTTTCTTTGGTTTATTTTTTATGAGAGTTGATGTATTTTCTTAACTAATATCAGCATGTAATACACTGATTGCAGTTGTTAAGACATCAGATTCAAGTATATTCTTATTTGTATTATCTTGACTGTCCTCGGAAATTACAGTACACTGTTCTACATTTGATAAAAGATAGAATTTTTTTTTTTGATATTAATGGTAGGTTTAAAATTTTATATCTTACTATCATTTTCAAAATTTCTAGTATTCTAATGATCATTAACTTTAATATTTGTATTATGTGGTAGTATGGAAATCGAATTTCTTTTCTTTGACTTATTTTTTACAAGAGTTGATGTATTTTTTTGAACAATATCAGAATGTAATGCATTGCTTGCAGTTGTTAAGATATCAGATTCAAGTGTATTCTCATTTGTATTATTTTGACTGTTTTCTGAAATTACAGTACATTGTTCTACATTTGATAAAAGATAGAATTTTTTTTTTGATATTAATGGTAGGTTTGAAATTTTATATCTTACCATCATTTTCAAGATTTCTAGCATTCTGATGATCATTAACTTTAATATTTGTACTATGTAGTTACATAGGGCCATGTTTCTTTTTTTGACTTATTTTTTATAAGTTTTGATGTATTTTTTCACCAATATCAGCATGTGAAAATGCAGTTGTTAAAGTATCAGATTTATTATTGGTATTATTTTGGCTGTTTTCTGAAACTACAGTACCTAGTTCTATATTTAATAAGAGATTGAATATATATATATATATAATGATATTAATGGTAGGTCTGAAGATTTATATATATCTTACTATCATTTTTGAGATTTCTATTTTTTTGATAATTATTAACTTTAATATTTGTACTATGATTATTAATGTTAATTTTAATATTTGTACTATGATCATTAACTTTAATATTTGTACTATGTGGTTGCATGGCAGCTGAATTTTTTCTTCTTTTTGGCATGTTTTTTTGACCAATATTAGTATGTGAAGATGCACTACTTGTAGTCATTAAGGTGTTAGATTCTACACTTTCATCTATATTATCTTGGCCAAAAGTCATTAAAAAGATTATTTTTTTTAGTTTTTTATTTTTTATTTTATTTTTTTAGTAGTAATAGACCAATATAATTATTACTATTAATATTATCATGGCTTTCAAAAGAGTCTTGTGCATTATTAGACATCTTATTTGTATTACTTTGATCAGAGATACTTTCAACAT